GTGGAAGCTTGTGGGCATGTAACATTCGGGCCCTGACGAGGGCAGAGAGTAGCTAGTCCTTTGGCATGAGGGTTATACTGTATTACCAGTCAAAAATCTCAATGACTAGAGTCCAAACCCGCTAAGGTAGAAGGGTGTGACAATAGGCTCCTAGCAGGTTTCCAGCGGGAGAGTTACATGAATGAATCGAACTAATACTCGAACGAGAGGAATCCAGAGGCTGTGCAAGTATGAGACTGTACAGTTAAGGATAGCTTAATGGAAGTAATATGTATTACCTATACTAACAAGATGCATATACTTTTTAATAGCCTATAACTTAAGAAATACTTAGAGCAATTCTAAGATGTATGACCTCCTGGGAAGTTTCTCAGGAAATATGTGAGTGAGAACAAAGCATGTTGAAAAGTCTTGTGTTTATTTGTGGGGATTCATTGATCCTGCAAGTGGTCGGGCATTACAAGTGGTATCAGAGCAGGGCCTCTCTTCCAGTATGGTGTGGTTCGAGGATGAACTAGGCAGAAGCTGGTGGGCATGTAACATTCGGGAACTGACGAGGGCGGAAATCGATAGTCCTTTGGCACGTGAGTTGGAATGTACTACCAGTTAAAAATTCCATTTCCCGGAGTCCAGACCCGCTAAGGTAGGAGGGCTATGATAATAGGCTCCTAGCGGGAGGGGTATATGAATGAATTGAATCAACACCCGAACAAGAGAGATCCAGAGGCTGTGCAGGTATGAGACTGTATAGTTGAGGATAGTTTAAAGAATTAATATGTATTACCTATACTACCAAGATGCATCTATTTTTCGATAGTCCATAACTTAAGAACTAACAAGATGCAATTCTAGGATGTGTGACCTCCTGGGAAGTTTCTCATGAATTGTATGAGTGAGAACAAAACACGCTAAAAAGTCTTGTATTTGTTTGAGGGGACAATCATTGATCCCACAAGTGACCGGACGTTACATTACCAATAGATTCATGCAAGCATAATGATACATTAAGGCATATCAAATGTGATTTTAATTCAAAGTGGGTATATTTCAAACCAACATCTTTTCTTAATTAATATCAAGTTTCACAAAATAACAAAATAAACAAAAAAGAATCTAACATAGTTGATAACACTCAGCCACTTGGTGTTTTAAGGTAGGTGTTCACTTAATTCTCACTATTGAAACTAACACTAGCTTGACCTTATTCTAATCCTCCACATTAATAATAGAAATTGCAAAAACCAATCAAAATATCTTTTTAAAGATTTTAACATGGCTACGGTAATAGGGAAGAAATCATTTCATATGAAGTAACCAATAAGTCTATTTAGAGGGAAAAATTTAGAATATAATGTCCATGGAGCTCCCAGAACAATTTTAGACCTTGTCCTAGCTCTCAACTTTTTTTTTGTACTCTCAAATATATGTTGGTCCGAGTGGAATAGCTTTTCAGCCTCTACAAATTATAAATAAATATTTCTCAGGATATACTTTATTGTAACGATCATTCTGAGTCATTGATAGTTTATGTACTATGCTAATGATATTCTATCAAAACAAATAACATTTAAAAAGCTAAGGTTGTCAGATGTTTGAATATGATAAAAAGGATATCCTAACTCATAAGGGGCGTTTGGTAGAGGAGAAATTTTTTTTACCAGGTAAATATAATTACTGCGAAAATTGTGGGAAAGTGAGTTTGCTGATAAAGTTTAAAAAAAGATGTTTGGTTGGACGAAATATTATCGGGTAAATTGATTAAAGTTTTATAAGTCCATGTTTGGTTGAAGATAAAATATTGAAGGGAAAGTGGTATAAAATGACAAAAATAACCTTTTTAAATTTTGAAAATTGACAAAAGTAATCTTGGCAGAGATGTGCAATTTGATGAGGTTAGGTCAGAAAAGGTATATCAGTCACATCTCTCGTTTTCTTTTATCAATTTACCCAGTTTTCTTACAATACCACATTGTAAGTGACATTTTTCATCTGTGTCTATCGTCTGTTTTTCCTCACAATTGATAAAGGATGGGTAAATAAGTTTGCTTGTTAAATTTTTAAAAACCGTGAACCAAACGTGGTCAAGAAAAATGCCACTTATTGATGCCTAGCTATCTCATAGGAATACCCAAACCAAACGCCCTCATAAGTATAATAGAGTTATATTTTTTTACTTCATTTCGAATATATGAGGATCAATATTCAAATTTTTGCTCAATAATCAATTTCCATATATGATTTTTTTTTAAAGATTCCTTCGGTAATCCCACATGTTCGGATTTTTTGAGTCGCCTATGGACTAATTCAGAATTCATAGCGGGTAGAAGATTAAAGTTTAAATCCCTCCCAAAGATGATATTGGTGAGGATTAAAGTTATAAAAATTTTACCCAAAAAGAAATCCTTAATATTGTTCGAATAATAATAATAATTTATAACTATACTTATATATTAAATTGATAAAAAAACAAAGAGAAATAAGTTGAACTGATTCTCAAAATTATTTCAGTTTATACCATTTACTTTAACAAGGACATAAACTAAAACAAAATAAATCATGTTATAGGCAAAAAAATTAAAATATTACATTTTTAATAATTAATTACGAATAGGTAGCAGTTTGAAAACTATATTCGAATTTATTGCAGTCATTCACGCCCAAATTAGGCGTGACTATTCACGCCTAAGTTAGGCGTGACTCCCTAGACATTCACGCCTAATTTAGGCGTGAATCATCTGGTGTTGACACGTGGCAAAAAAAAGTCAACTTACGAACCGTAAAACTTTGAAAAGCCATAACTTTTGACTCGGGTATCCGCATGAGGTAATTCTTTTTTTGATTTCACATAACTTTTCGAGATCTACGCAATGACATCTCATTTGATATATTTTATCTCTCACAAACATAATTCAAATTTGCAATAATTGTATTATATAGTGTATTACCAAAAAAAAATTTAAAAATTATTATTAATAAGAAAAACAAAATAAAGATTTAATTTGTGATTTAAACTCAAAAATCAATTTGAAAAATTTGTATTAATAAAGAAAATAATTAAATATATATTCTAAACACTTGCTTTTTTAATAAATAATTACAAATAAGTTGCCGTTTTGAACCTAATTACGAATATATTGCACTCATTCACGCCCAATAATGGTACTATAACATTAAATTCAAAATTCAAAATTAAAATAACCTCCAATAAGTTGATTTCATTTTGTATTTAATAGGAGTTGATTGTGTTTTGTATTTAATAGGAGCTGATTGCGTTGTAATTTTATGAGTTGGTTACAGATTGTCGCTAATTCAAATAAATTTCCTGGTGGTTATTTGAATTTTGAATTTAATGTTATAAGAGTTGATTGCGTTTTGTATTTAATAGGAGCTGATTGCGTTTTGTAATTAATAGGAAATTTGGTGTCATCTTATTTATAGATGAGTTAATCCACTTTGGTGCCATCTTTATAGTATCATTGTTGTTAATTTGAATTGTGTTTGTGAGAGATAAAATATATCAAATGAGATGTCATTGCGTAGATCTCAAAAAGTTACGTGAAATCAAAAAAAGAATTACCTCATTCGGATACCCGAGTCAAAAGTTATGGCCTTATAAAGTTTTACGGTTAAACTATTAATTTTTTGTGCCACGTGTCAACACCAGACGAGTCACGCCTAACCTTGGGAGTCACGCCTAACTTAGTATTCACACCTAATTTGGGCGTGAATGACTGCAATAAATTCGAATATAGTTTCCAAACTGCTACCTATTCGTAATTAATTATTAAAAGTGTAATTTTTTAATTTTTTTGCCTCATGTTATAATATGGATCAAGATTCTTTATTCTTAGAATGATAATGGTAGAGAATATAAGTTGTCCAAATAGTTTAACATGTTAAAAAAAAAAATGGATTCATATAATGTGGGGACCATAATAATATAAAGGTAGATTAATGGTGATAAGGAAAAAGAAAAAGAAATATTGAGATAAGTAGTTACAAAATCATTACCGATGATTTACTTTTATATGGTTAAACTCTCCTACATAACATAGTCATGTTAATTAAAATATGAGAGGATCCATTTTAAAAAAATTATACTTGTCATTTTTTTCTTATTATCTCTTAGAATCATTTTGTCATAATTGGAGCAAAATCAAATTAATAAGTCTTACTTAATATCATTTTATAACTATTGGTTTAATTTTGATCCAACGATAATAAAATTGATTATAAGAGGTAATAAAAAAATGTGGTAAAAGTAAAAAAAAAAATATAAACACAATTTTTATAAATTCGGACTGTGTTATTACAACTGTTGCATCATTTTTATTTTTATTTTGATATAGGCATCATTATATATATAGAGAGGACATTATCAGTAAAATAATTTTGTTATCTAATCATATATTTTTTATATCTTTAAAAGAGATTATTTTTAAAATAAATTCTATTGTAATTAAATCATTATAATCAAGGTAATTAAAATCTCGATTTAAATATATGATTTCATGATTTTACAATTTTTTTTTTAATCTAAATGATTTCGTTAAGATTTCAAACGCTTTTATGTTTTTCTGATTTTTTATGACTTTTTTACGTTAAAATTTTACGGTTTACTATTTTTGATCTTTATTCTGATTTTAGGTAAAATTCTAATCTTAACTACCTTGATTGTAATCACGTATCACAAATTCACAATGATGTAAAAAAATAGTGGTTTTTTTTTTTTAAATAAAAATAGTGTTTTTTTATCTCTGGAAATCATCTATAATCAAAAGTAAATCAGAGACCCAAAAAGTAAAGATAGAGTAACAAAAGAATTCTTGGATTAAATCTTCGATGACAGATTTAACCCAAAAAAAAAAAAAAAAAAGAAGAAAACAAATTGGGCATGTACAAAAATTAATTTGTACAATCATTGAATCCTAATACAAATAAAACCGAATTTTTTTAATAGCGAAGAGAAGACCTGAAAAAAAAAAAAAAACAGAAAGAAAAAGAAACAGAAGGAAAAGAAGCGAGGAAGAGGAACACTAGTAGCAGCGAGCTATACACAGAAAGCAAAACTCAATACATAAATCAGCAACGAATTTGTTTTTTTGTTTTTTGTTTTTTTTTTAAAAGGGGAAAATAGAGAGAGAGAGAGAGAGAGAGAGAGAGAGAGAGAGGAGCCATAACTGAAGCTTCGAAGATTCGGAAGCAGCAAGTGAGGTTCGAGATTTCTATGCAAATTCCTGAACTGCGCTGAGGTCAGAGTTCAATCAATGCGTAATAACCCCTTTGTTTTTTCTATACACACTTCCAAGCCTTAAGTTTTTGTTCTTCATTGTGCTTCCTTCCATTGCAATTTCAATTTTTTTTTATTATACATACATATATATATTCTCTCTAGCGTTGCTCAATTTGGTTCCACTCGGTGATCTCTTCGGGATTACGAGTTTGGTGCTTTTGGAATTTTGCGAAATAATGAGGGTTTTTAGATTGGTGCAACTGATGTAACGTTCGCTTCGTGCTGTTCAACGCAAGCATAGTGTTTCGGACCCTCGGGTTTGGTAATTCAAACTTAGGGTTTTTATTTGCCATACAATTCGTTGAATTGAGTTTGGTTTGTGGGATTTGGCTCTGGGGCTTAGTGAGTTCCGTTGCAGTTTGATCTCTAGGGTTTTGGGTGTGGGGAAGTTGAGATTTTGCTTTGCATTGTGTGGGTCTCTTGGGGTGTGAATTTTGGTTATAAGGGTGATCATATTCAGGTTCAGAATTGCTACTTTCTCTTGGGTTGCTATTATTAGTATGATTTAAGCATCTGCTTGTTCTGATATGCAGAGCTTTTGGTAGTTGATTTGTGTTCAACGGTATGGGAGAGAGGGAGTTTTGGGTTCTTTGTAAACAGAAATAACTGCAGTTTGGGTCAAATTGAGGTTACAGGTGGGTGGGTTGTTTTCTGATTTATTGGGCGGTGTATGAATCTGTCTGTTGAGAAATGCAACCCCAGCAGAGCTCAAGAATTGATTTGGGTGAATTAAAAGCACAAATTGTAAAGAGGATTGGAGCTGATAAGTCAAAACGGTATTTTAGTTACTTGAACAGATTTCTCAGTCAGAAGCTGAGCAAGACTGAATTTGATAAGTTGTGTTATCGGGTACTGGGGAGGGAGAATCTTCCATTACACAACTATTTTATAAAGTCAATTTTGAAGAATGCCTGCCAAGCCAAGACCCCACCACCAGTCCGGTCATCAGGTCCTCCAAAATCAGGAGCGTATGTCACTAATGTATCTCCTGGTAGAGAAGATGGACATGAACAGAGTGTTGCCAACATCCAAAATCAAAATGCATCATCCATTTGGTCAAATGGAGTTTTGCCAATGTCCCCACGTAAGTTAAGGTCTGGAATGCGTGATCGGAAGCTTAAAGATAGACCAAGCCCACTTGGACCAAATGGGAAAGTTGATTCGGTTGCTCATCAATCCACAGCTTCAGAAGACAGTGGTAGTAAGGTTGACATGGAGAATGGAACTATTACTCTATGTGATTATCAGAGACCAATACAGCATCTTCAAGCAGTTGCTGAGCTACCTGAGAATGGTATGGGGGATGCTATTGAGAGACCTGCAGAAAAACCAAGAATACATGGCAAAGGGCCAACCGAAATATCAATTGTTGAAGATGGGGAAGAGGTAGAACAGTTAAACCGCTTCAATTTCTCCAGAAGTCCCCTGATAGCACCACTTGGGGTTCCTTACTGCTCTGCAAGTGTTGGTGGGGCCCGCAAAGCATTGCCGGTGAGTAGCACTAGTGATTTTGTTAGGTGTTGTGACAATGGTAAGTTATCTGATACAGATACATTGAGAAGGCGCGTGGAGCAGATTGCTACAGTACAGGGCCTTGGAGGAGGTGTTTCTATGGAATGTGCGAATATGTTGAATAATGGGTTAGATGTGTACTTAAAACGGTTGATCAGTTCTTGTGTTGATTTAGTGGGAGCTAGGTCTGCAAATGAGCCGAGGAAGCTCCCTGCCTCAAAACAGCAGATTCAGGGGAAGATCATTAATGGCATGTGGCCAAATAATCATTTACATGTGCAGAGTGCTGGTGGGCTGGCAGAACCTGAGCCTGAACACAGACCACTGTTCTCGGTATCTTTGCATGATTTTAAAGTTGCTATGGAGCTAAATCCCCAGCAACTTGGAGAAGATTGGCCAGTACTGTTGGAGAAGATTTCTATGCGATCCTTTGAGGAATAACACATGTATGAAGAAATTTTTTTCCTAAGCAAAGATTGGGTCTGTTTCTTCTGGTTCTGATAGCTCGGCAATGGTTGTTGATCATCAGCTCACGTAGCTCTGTTCTTTTTGCCAGGATGAACCACATGACCCCTACATGGAGAACTTCTGGCCCTTCCAGGATCAAATACTGGTTTTGAGCTTCAAAATGTCTTACCTCTGCTATTTGAAGAGCTAGAATGGATCAGAAATTATTTAACTGCAACCAAGGGTACTATCAAATGAAGCCCAGGATTGGTTGCACTGTTGTACGTTTAGCATTTATGTTGGCTGTATTTGCCATTACTGGAGATGTCAGAGCTTTTGTTTGCTTTACAGCCAATTACTAAGAACTAAGAAGACTCAAAAGTTTTGCAGGGATACTACTGTGTAGCTGGGATTGAGGAACTGTGACATAAGAGCTGAAGGGTTGCTCTGTATGTATTTTTAGAATATGAGGATTGATTGAATTCAATAGTAATAACACGTCAACATCTATTGAAATTTTCTTGAGGAGTTCAGTTCTATGGTTGAACGTCATGGCACCAAATTTCTCCAATACCTAGTGTTTTTTTGTTTTCTTGTTTATTCATCATATAGCTCTGTAAATTACACGTCTCTTTCAGTTCAAATTTATTTTGTTGACAATAAATGAATTTCTAGTCATATGTTCGACTTTTGAATTTTGGCATCAATTTCTTCAATTTAATATATATATATATATATATGGGAAAAACTACTCTTATGCAACATAAGAGTAGTTTATCTCCAATAGACCCATCGAAAACCGTGACAACTTTTTTTCTTTTTTTCCTTTTTTTTTTATAAATTGTGGATCCCACCACACATGTATCTATAACATGAGAGAAGATCTCTCATGTAACATGAGATTAGATTAACCCTATATATATATATGTGTGTGTGTGTGTGTGTGTGGGACAGGATCTTTTAACACTAGTGTCAAATTTGAAGTTTGACACCTCATTTGATAGTCATTTGATCAAAAAAAATAACGACTCTGATTTCTAGGCATGTGACACCATTGATCTTTTTTAATCTAACAGCTATCAGATGAGGTTTGAAGTTTGACACCTCATCTGATAGCTGTTAGATTAAAAAAAATCAATGGTGTCACATGCCTACAAATCAGAGTCGTTGATCTTTTTTGATCTAACGGCTCGCAGATGAGGTGTCAAAGGATCCCACCTCTCTCTATATATGTATATATATGGGGAGGGTTATTTTGACTCCAGAGTAAGACTTTTAAGTCTTACTCCGCATCTTAGCCGTTGATGGACGGAAATCAACGGTTGTCATCTGTAATATAATTAATTAATTAATTAATATGACTTCCTAAACTATAACCATTGAATAGACAGAAATCAAGAGTTGAGATGAGGAGTAAGACTTATAAGTCTTACCTTGAGTCAAATGATCTTTCTCCTATATATATATGGGTTTACATTTCTGCAGTTACTGTACGTGTAGCAATCAAATACTTGCCATATATATACGTGAAAGTATTAAATATGGGGAATCATAACCATACAAAAAATGAAAGTATTAAATATGAGGAATCATAGTCATGCACCTGTCATTGTTGTATGTAATAAAACGGTTGTAGAAATGATTTTATCATATAGTGAGCGTAAAATGAGGTAATCATGATCATTCAATCTTTATATGGACAGTTAAGATTAGTTCCACTGACACATATATTGCTGACTCTTGTATAATTGAAGATATAGTAAACAACAGCTTTCCTGAGAATGTGGTGAACTAGTAAGTTATTCTTGTATGTTGCTTTTGGATGGGGGAACAGGAAAAGAAGTCTTTTTTCTTCAATGCAGTAACCCGATATTTTGAATGTCAAGAATTTGCATTTGTTACTTTTAGTCCTTATGTAAAAGAAATGATCGGGCAACCAATCATGATGTTCTTTCAGACAAAATGTCCATGTCTGTTTTGATTTTTTAACCATGATTTTGCCATTTGTCATGGTTTTCTACTATGCTTACAAGTTACAACAAGTAGCTGTGCAATATAGAGAAAAATGCAGAGAGAATTCTGTAAAGTCGAATACGTGTACAGGTTCACAGATTGGTCAAAAATAAAATCTCTACATGATTGAGCTGCAGCATGCCTAAGCCGTTAAATTAACAACCTACCAATAACGACATTGTCTGAACCAAATGTTGAAGATTTGTATTTCATATGTCTATACTGACTCATTTAATATTTATTATTCAAAATATTGAGGTTGCAATTTGTTTGTATTGCTTGTTGTAACTTCCTAAGGCCATCCCCTTGTCTTAGTGGCTATTGGGCATTGCAATTTGCATCATCCTAGCATTTTCTGCAGGAACATCAAAGTTTAGGAGGTTCTTGAAGGTAACGAGTAGAAGTTTTGAAGGCATATTCCTGGGAAGAATTGCATATAACATATGCCAGAACTAGTTTTGGCGAGTAACTGCTGGAATCTTCAAAGTTTTGCAATTAGCTGCTTCCATCTAATCTGTCAACTTTTATTAAGTGATGTTTGAATCTTCTTCTTTTTAAGCTAAAAGCTACTTATAAGCAGAAGTTAAGCCAAATAGATTTTGTAAAAAACTCTTATAATAAAAAGTTCTCTTTTTTTTATAACAAAGAAAAAAGTTAAAAGCTAAAAGCTCCTAGGGTTTTTTTTTTTTTAAGCTCTTATCAGTTTTTCTTGAATTTTGTATTTTTTTTTTGAAATAAAAAGCCATAGAGATATAGAGAGAGACTTTTATTGAAATATGTGCTTTTAAACTAAAAATTTTACGTAATTATCAAACAACTTTTAATTTTTTTTTTAAAGTTCTTTTTTTTTTTAACTTTGACTTAAAAGAGAAGATGCAAACAAACTCTAAGAAATGTTAGTTAATGGAAGTTGGACATAAGCAGAAGTGGCTATTTGCAAATGTCTAATAAGTTCAGGCAGTGATTTGCAAAAGGGTCGAAGGGGGTAATATGAGATTTTTTTCTCAAGACTAAATTTGTGCTATATTTGGTGCTTGTGAATTAGTTGAAATGTTAAAGACTCTAAGTGAAGTGCACACTGTTTACTTGTTCAGACGCAGCTGATTCATGGTCTAGCTTGTAAGTGATTACTGATTACTTACATCAATGTATATCACTATCAAATTCATGGAAATTTATAATGTACAGGCTCGAAGAGATCTAGGTATGTTCTATTCTTTGCTAGAAAAGCTTAATGATATCCCTATTTATACAATTCCAAGGAAAAGAAAATTCTAATTATCATTGTACTTAAACAGTAATAATCCTATGTTTTAATCAACTAATCAAAGATGTCGTGTTAATTTTTTTGAGTGTCTAGAGAAAGTGGGGCCATAAATTTCCAGTTACTGGATTTTTCCATCAGCTTATTTACGAAAATATTACTTTTACATTGATAAAACAGGAGAAGCCTCACAGAATACATGTGGAAAAATTGAAAGGAGAAACAAAGTTAGATTACTTTGAATAACAAATACCTTTTTCTTGAGGAAGTGTGTATTATTTATTTCTATGCAGTTGACATAATTATTTAAAGTGGCTGCAACCAGACTGGACTTCGGGCTATGAGAGTCATCCATGCATAACCATGCGAATTGCTCGTCTCCCAAAAATCATGTATAAAACATTTGCTCTAAATATATTCTTTGAATTATAAACAAGCGGAAGAATATTGTGACAACTAAATTGTGTTACTACCAATCAAACTCACCGTTAGATTGATTATGTTGATCCAACGGTTATATTTATTTCCATCTTTGTATAGTCATGATTCCCCATATTTAAAGTGAAAGCATTAAATATGGGAAATCATAACCATATAAAGGTGAAAATAAATATAAAGTATTAAATTTAGGAAATCATGACCATACAAATATGGAAATAAATATAACCGTTGGATCAATATAATCGATCTAACGGTAAGATTGATTAGTAGTTACTTGGTAGTAACACAACTTGGTTGTCACAAATATCCTTCCCCTATAAACAATCACTTAGAAGTTAAAAAACTCTTAATAAAATAATTTGACCATTTAGTTATTGAATCTAAAATAATATACACATGTATATTATTAAAAGAGGATGAAATAGTTATTGATTTGTTGCACCATCGTTGTAAATTCATTTAATACAATAATAATTAGTTAAACCAGCAATGTTGAGACAAAAGTAGAATAATAAGATTTATCAGCTTCATAATGACTTTTGGTGCATACTGAAATTTTTTAATGTGGTTTAAACGTCTCCCTCGACCTTCTTCATGGTTTAGTGCATATGGAAAATTTTCTATAATGCCAATTGTTCCATAGTAATATTTCGGGATCAATCCAACTAGAGCTGTTCAAATCTCCCTCGATGCCTAAATCATAGGGATCACTCTCTATCTATAAGGCTACTCCTTAGCAAGCATTCGTATACAATAAGGGTTAAGCTCTCACATATGGAATCTTCCTTCTCAAGTACTTGCATACTAGTGGTGCTGCCTCTCACATACTTGCATATACTACAAACATCTTCAACTTTGTCCCTAGAATAAGTCAATAACTTCCATTGTATCAATGCTGGTTTATGCAGCTTCGATCCCTTTTAATTTTTTTTTTCCTTAAAAAAAAGGAAAGAAAGAAAAAGATACTTAAATGGGACTATTTTCGTCCGCAGATTAACAAGTTCTAGAGTCCATCAAGCCAGTGGCTTATGTTATTAGTTGATGGGATGAATCTATTGGCTATGTACATATGACCAATAAGAAGAGGTGAGGAGCAACCGTGCTTTGTACAAAAGGAAAATAAAGAGAAAAGGGACAATGCAATCAATGAGGTGAAGATGAATTGGATGGTGCTGCTGATACTTTGCAAATAGGGCACCAGTTCTTCAGCTGCAGCCACTCTTGTATGCAAAACACATGAAACCTATGCTCGCATTGCAAACTCCCAACTTCATCTGCAACAACATATTCCTCCTGCAAATTAAGTAAATGTATCTAAATAAGGTCATGTGACAAAATAATTCTAGAGTTTCGTTATTCCTACATAAAATCTACACTAAACCTCTACACATTCCTCTTTTGAGGGGGGAAAAGAGAGACACACACACTTCCCAATACCTACTCTTTCTTTTTCTTTTCCTAAAAAGGAAGTTGTAAATCTTTGGTGTTGAAATTAGATATAGACATCAGATGTAGGAATAAAAATTATCAGGAATGACATTTGTGATACTTCTAGGGTCTATACGGGTCTTAAAGCAGTAGTGGCTAGTCTTAATTCCTTCTATTTCTTAAATGCTGATGAAGTCTTTATGGTGCTATGCATACTAGCTTCACTAAGTTTAAGACTGAAAACGGCTGTTACTTTGTCAACAGACAATTGGGTTCCACTAGAATCAGATACGGGGATATCAATTTAAATTTGGCAAGCCGAATCCTGGTAACAATAGTAGCACATCACAGGCTTAATAGTATTTGAGCCATGATGATGTTCAACGACACCCCCATTTGCCATGCATCATCCTCGCAAAAGCTTCATTAAATGTTATAAAAATACCTGGCAAATGCAGCATTTGATATCATCCTTATCCTCATTAGAACTCTCAGCTGCATCATGTGAAGGTTCAGAATGATAGATACTTCTCTTAAGGCATTCTGAAAGAGCTTCCTCTGTTAGGGCAGTACTCACAGTACCCATCCTCTCTTCCAGAGCTAAAAGTTCCTGTGATTAATTGAAAACTTTCAAGGGTAGGAATAGATAAATATGAAAAGAAAATTTTTATATTTTTAATCCGAAGCATGCTTTGTCCTTAAGGATAGTAATCCCTTCTCAAAGCTGCCTCTATCAACACAATTTTCAAACCTCTCTCCCTTACCATACTGCCAATAAACAGCAGTTAGACCTAGGTTATAATCCCCAATATTGCTTTTAGAAATACGCATTCTTAAGGATATTTTTGCCCAAAACTGTTGTACTACAGATCCCACAAACCATAACAACGCATTCTTAAGGATATTTTTGCCCAAAACTGTTGTACTACAGATCCCACAAACCATAACAAGTTTGATACGAGAAAATGATGTAAGAAAATGATTGATAGAACCTTGTGACATTAACAGACCTCATACGTCATGTTATCAATATCCAACCGCATGTCTCTGTGATGATCATAGAAGTTTAGTCCATTAAGGAACAAGTTGGTCTCTAGTAAAAGAATTTGCTGCACAGACACAAAATCAAAGTGTCAAATAGCTTGCCGACTAAGTCGATGTAACTTTTAGTCAAGAATTACCTCAGAGGTTAGCTCTTCATCTTGTTCAATCCTCTCAAGTGCCAATAATACCTACATAAAATTATAAAATAAACTCTATTTTTAAGCCTCTCATTAATGACCACGATAACAAATATGTGCTCCCATGTTTACATGGAAAATTACCTCTGCAATACTATCCATGTTGTAGCGTTGAAAGCTATCCCGATTTATGATAGAATGAGTGATGCCGTATTCTGCAGGAGACACACACATAACACCACATAACTGCTCACTGCTAGTACCTGGTCTATTGTAAGAGCTTGGACGACTTAAAGGAGTCTCTACAGAAGTATGATATGAAATGCTAGGAGCACTAAGATCACCAGAATGAGGCAAAAGAGGTACCATAACAGGGGACTCATTGGTTGCCATGGGGTTTTCATTTCCTTTGCTAGAAAACCTTCCCCTGGCATGACCACTAACTGATCTTTGAGTTCTAACCAATATATTGCTGTCCCTGTGAGAAGGAATATTTGTAGATCCTCTTGAATCGGAGATACATATGCCATTTCTGCAGCCAGAATTTCTTCTTTCAAATGAAGACCCGGTCATCTTCTTCCCAACAGTGGAACTACTTTCTCCTTCACAGTTTCTCTTTTTGATCATATCCTTCCTTCTATAAAGGGTTGAATCTGATGATGAACAACCAGCTGGGGTGACATCGGATATAGAGTTGCATCTGAGGTTCCTCAACCCATACCTGCTGTTAACAGCACGTGTCACTGGACCAGTGCTTTTAATTTCTCGTCCATGCAATCCAGGCCTTTGATGAAAATTCCTTTGAGATCTTGCATTTGATACTACACTAGAGCTTCCTACTTCCATCAGCATCACATTACTAGACGCTGTACTTTCCCCTTCAGATTGAAGCCCTCTAGGAATTTTTCCTGTTGGAGGGATTAGCCCTGAAATTTGTGGTTCATCCTGCGCACTACTAGTTTCAGATGAATCTGTCCCAAACTGAGAGGATAATGCTTTCTGAGGCTCTATAAGGGGTTTTTCGGTGTTACTAGTAGCTCTGGAGGAACTTCCAATTGCTTGCTTGCCCCTTAAAGAGGACCGGACTGAAGACCTCAAAGATTTACCTTTTTCAGATGATCCAACTTGAGAAACTTTAGGAGGGTTGGCTCTACTACTGCAACCCAATCGGCTGCAAATTTGACCATTTCGATCTCTAGTATTAGCAGTATCTCTAAACACATGGCCCATCCCCTTTCCAGGGACTACCACCCCATGAATGCCTCTTTTACCAGAATATTCATCCATCAATTGCTTATTACCTTCAAATCTGCAACACATTGACGTGATTTAGAAGTAATCATATAATCAAAAACTAATAAAGGGCCATCATATTAAAGAAAATCATGAGGCTGGAAACAGAAATTATAAGTAAGATTAAATACATACAAACATTCAGATTGTCAAAAGCAGAATATAGATCGTATAAGACAATAGTTTTACATGTTTCTCAATAACAACGATTTATATGCATAATTCCAGCTGCAACTGAACAGACTGGCAGACTGGCAGCTTCACTTAAAGTACATAAATTTGAAGTTTAGACAAAATCAAGAATAGAGGAATTTTCCCACTTTTATGCTTTTGAATAAACTTCACATATTAAACAGCTTATCTGGAAATTGTTCCAAACTTATCACGTACAATAACTAAATTTCTTCATAGCAGTCCCTCCTTTGTAACCCCCATTAGTTTTATGCATTGAAAGGAAAAAAATGTTGAAATCTACTTGTATATTATTGACACTTGGATATATCCAAAGTATTTCACATTTTGGATTCTCTTTTGCAAGAGCTTCAGATGAATGGGAAAAAGCTCTTACATCAAGCATATACAAATGACTGGAATTCAACTGAAAGGGGACTAATAAAGAAAATTGGCAAAATGAATTGAATTGCAAAACAAAGGTGGTGGTCACCCATGAAAAGAACAGAAAAATCGTTCGAAGGAAAAAGTTGAACAAGAGGCATTAAGCCAGTGTCTATAACCATAACAGAAATGTCATTTTTAACATGCTCATGTTATGGGTCAGGGACAGTTTTGCTTCCTTGTCAATTGTAATAAACTATGCAATACAGGCATTCAGGCAATAACCCATCTTAGGTAGCATTAAGAAATCCTTTAACTAACAAATTCAAGAAAAAAAACAAATAGTTGCAACAATATATTTATTAGTCAATTTGCGAATCCCATGCCTATTTTCATCCTAGAGGGAATCATTTATAAGTATATTGCTTGAGCAAGCTGGGTAAATTTTATATGATTTTGCATGCTCAATCAGACACACAGAGAATTTGAGCTACATCAAAACACTTCTATTAAATATTTATTATATGAAATAGACAGCCAACTTTGAAAAAATTTGCTGGTGTAAGAAAAAAAAAATGTAAATACAAGAGAATACATGTAGTTTAATCCATATGGTAAATAAAACACTCTAAACTGAGATGATAAAAAAATTAACAAAAATCAGAAAACTGACAAGTATTCATGAAACAGTCAATACTTCTGGTCAGAAGCTAAATCGAGTTGTCGAATCTCCCACGCAGCCAGATATAAATCATGCAAAGAGTTTCCAGGGTTTCAATCACGAATACACAAAGATATGCCAAGTTCGGATACTAGAACACTCACACCATTGGCTTCCTAATAGCCTCAACCATGACAGCATTTACATTTTGTATACTTTTTTCTCATCCCCAAGGCAAAATGACCAATACTTTGCTCTATATCTAATATAAAAGAAGAAGAAGAAGAAGAATAAGCTACTGGAGTCTAGAAATATTTACATAATATATATGGTTCTCAAACAGATAGCTCCTTTTTTCAACTCCTCTGAACCAACAAGGTACTAACGCAGCTTGATTACATTAAATCCAACCATAGATATATGTACACACCTTATTATCATTACCATTGAGGGGACAAGACAAACCAATTAAAAAAAATACAAAACTCCCATCATTAATAATAATATTCAGCTGGAACAATTCAAAACAGAAAATAAAACAGGAAAATAAGAATAGAACATCACGATGCAAACTGTATACCAACATCTAGAAACTGATCACACAAGAACCAACTAAGAACTCAGTTATGAGATAAGAGTCTTCAACAAGAATAGCTGTTGTTAAAACCGAAATAACAATATCAAAAGGAGGGAGCTTCACCACACAACGATGACAAAAAAAAAAAAAAACAAACCTTTGTTGTTCCTCCCGTCATTTCAGCGCTCAAAAAAACAACAAAACTGTGACGCAAACAACATCAGTTAAAAAAAAAAAAAAAAAGGAACACTTCCATGAATTTGAACTTCAACGATGAGATAACGGAACAAAGAAAAAAAAAATCAGATTTTGAGTAACCCCAGTTTCCAATTGTTTGGTATCAGGATGTATAGATTGATCAACGCCATGAAAAATTGATGAATCTTCCACTGTTTCAATTTGGGTCGATTAATTAACCCAATTTTATTCCTTTTGAATTCAATAGCTTAAGTTCATCAGAAAAACACGAATAAGGTGGCTAGCTACCTTTTTTTTCCTTGTGTTGTTGTTGGTTGGTGATGGTGATGGTGATGGTGTTGTTCTTCTCCCTTAATAACTGCGAGAAAAGAATTAAAGAGTGCGAAAGAGAAAGAAAAGTTTGAAGACAGAGAAGCAAAAGTGCAAAACGTGTGTGAATGAATGATCCAATGCTACTCATCAAATCAAACATTTATTTATTTATTATCTTTTCCAAAGCTGAACAACAAAGGCAACAAATAAATTAAAATATTTATATATTAAAAAAAGAAGAAAAAGAATAAAAACAGAATACCTGTATAAGCAAGAATGATGATATACATATACATATACATACTCATTCTTAAATTTTATTTCATGTATTTTAAATTAAATTAAAAAAAAAATTACTTTGTTGAATTTGTGGTGAAAGAAAGAAAGAAAGCAGAGTCATTGGCAAATGGCAATTCCCTATAAGCGACTCAGCTGCGTGATAAGCGATTTTTATTGTAAATATATTTCTATCCTATTATTGAATTTTAAATCTACGACTCTTTATTCCTCTTTTTTAGTTGTGGAGTGAGATTTTTTATTTATTTTTAATTTAATATTCAAAATTACAAGAATCAATAAAAAAAAAATATCAAAGAAATACAACGATATTAATAAAAAAATTAAAATCTTATGTAATTTTCTCAAATTTATAACAATTTGATGTAACTTCATGTTCTCTTAGATAGCATTTTCCCACATATTAAAAGTTATGTTACCTCTACATGCATTGGCATCCATCTTCTCCTGTTCTTATTCTTGTTCTTGAGTTTGAACAATAGATTTAAAACTATCTTCTTTAAACAGAAGAGATGAAGGATGAGGCTTAACGGAGAAATCTCATGCCTTCGCATTAGATGTCTCCGTTCAACCTCATCCCACACTTCTTTGTTTCAATTTTTCAGGTGAAACCCGCAACTCAGTTCTCAAACTTGAGATCAATATGAAAATGAAAATCAAGAATAAGAAACAAGGACCATAAAGATGGGAAAAAAATAGAGAAGGAAATTTTCACTCTACATCCAAGAAAGAAAGACTTGTTAATCTTTAAAATGAAATATTTTAGGGTTTTGTTTTTAATTTATGCTTGTTTGGTGGAAGAGATAGGATGATAACGGATAGGATAAGGGAGATGGATAAATAGGAATCACAAATCGTGCCTACGATGCACATTATGTTACCTGTAACATCCCCGTCTCGAGCCGGTTCAATTAACATACATATGATACAAACAGAAACAGCGGAAGACTTAACTTACAAAAATATGAGCTAACTTTTTCTTTTTCTAACTTAATTCTTACTCGGCGTAAACGAAAATCGGGCAGAGTTTCCTCTATAAATCGGACAACTGGGGATTTTCCAATCCCACTCAGAAGCATTTCCTGATAAACAGTTTATACAACATATCAATTCAGAAATACCAGATATCCACATATAATCAAATACCCATACATGGGCGCATGCATAACATGGCTCCGTGCCACTAAATCTAACAGCATGCCATCAAAACATAAACCTATCTGAATACTACATCATCATATAACGTTCCTGAATACTCAAATGTACATGCATCAAACTGATAGACATGTACAAAACATATACAGGCCATATACAAAATAAAGGATCAATATCATGATCCATCAAATGCGAAAATACTAAAATACATCAAACACTCCAAAAAGGTAGTAGCCTACAGCCACTCAAAATCCGGTCTGTCAACTGCCTCAGCCACGTGTCGTGTCCCTGCCTAGTGAGGACTCACCGGAAATCTCTGGGCCCCTGAAAATGTGTCCCCAAAGAGGGGTGAGATTACAAATCTCAATAAGCTCCAGGTTTATAGAGAATTCTCCATACCCCTGGCTCACTCCTGCATGAAATTCAGATACAGAGTATACAAATACAACATATAACAGATATCATAACAGAACAGAGCATATATCCATATCATATCAGAGATGTGCGCCGTCATTCCCAAGGGAGGACCCCAAGCGGAAATCAACGCACGTGTTCCCGAGGGAGGACCCCAAAGCGGAACCAGACATATCAGAGGAGTACACCATCAGTCCCGAGGGAGGACCCCAAAGCGGACGTCCGGGTACTATACAATCAATGGCCAGAGATTGTTACAGAAATCATATTACAGAAGTCATATCAGAGCAAAACATATCATGTTATCAAATAACTCTATATGAATGCATCTATACAAAGCATCTAAATCACAGTCATACAGTCCAACCATAGTTCACTAACCATGGTGGAGCACTCAAGCAGGAAAAGACTCCTTAAACATAGAGCTTACCTCTTGAAGCTTTACCAATACGCTTACTTGTGGAACAAGTTACTTTTATCGCTTCAAGAGATTTCTGATCCTTCTCAATCCCTAGGCACACCTAGAGAATAATTTACAATGCATCAATAAAATGATGCAATACCATAATTATTTCATAAGCATACATTTTATCGCTTATTTTCCTTTCTTTGCATTTTTGCCAATCCTATGCCAATACACAAGTCTAGACCTCTTTATAACCGTTGGTGTTCTTTAATTTAATCAACCATTTTTCGAGTCATTTCACTTCTTAACTCATCAATTTTATACAATGAATTAGAACACATTTTATTTACAATAAAATGTAACAAAATATACTCCTATACCACCCTCTAGGTCGAACACTACAAGGACATAGACAAAGGTTCTTTTTCTTCACTTACACGTAACTTACACATACAAATACATGTTTTCATAAGGTTCCAACTTAATTTTTTGGAGCATAAAAGTCCCTCCAAAGCCCCACAAGGCCTAAACCTAAGGGCATATTTCATATAATTTTTTCCCACTTTGGCATTCTCACTAATTTATCAAATTTCCACTTAATTCCTACACCTTAAACCTTCCTAATACTTAAGATAAAATTTTGCACAACAACCTACTCTTCATCTATGATGGCCGAACATGTAGAGGAAATCATAGGATTTTTTTCTAATTTTTTTACATACATACAAATGCTTATTTTCATTTTATACATCAAAATATCAATTATTCCTCATCAATACATATTTTAACACATCATGCTTTTCCACCCAAGGCATATACACAATTTTATAACTTAAATAATCAAAACAACATCATGGAAATAGAGGTTTGTTACCTCAAATCAACTACCCAAAGCCTAGAAGACCTACACCAAGAGAATCTCCATCAAAAACTTCATTTTGCCCTCTTGATGAATAGTACACGAATTTGGGGAAGGAAATATCTCCTCACACAACCAATGATAGCTCAAATAAATGGGTGGGATGGACTCATTGGGTGGTTTCCCATCGATTTCAAGTAGTGGGACTTGTGATTTGGTTAACTTTGGAGTGAGAATCAAAGAAATGAAGAACCAAACCCTACCCCCCCTTTTCACCAAGTGCAGCTCGGCTTCTTTGAGGAAGAGAGGAGAGAGAGCTGATTTTGAATAGTGCTCATTTGAGTCACTTAAGCTTTTAAGCACATGTGGCCCTTTTACCCGGTTGTTTTTCTATCGCGTATTTTTACTTAATTGACCCGGAACTTAACTTAAAGCTACAGATATATTTTTATTTTTCTAAAGTCATTTAAATTAATTTTTATTTCCTAAGTAACAATATTCATAATTCACAGTATGGTTTTTGCACTGTTTTTGACGAAATGCACTGTGCATCACTAATTGTACTTCCTTTACTTACGAAACTTAAAACTTATAAACTTATCATTTTCTTGGGCCTATATTGACTTGCTTGGCATATATTGGACTTTCTTATTCTTATTTCATCAATTATTTATTTCTGGACTCTACCGGTTGCTTAAACAGCAGTACAAAATACCCGGTAGAAACACTATTCACGAGATTTTCACGGAAAGTGCCAGACTATACAATTTTTCGTTCTGAACTCATATTTGTCATCAGAATTTTCAAATTATGTTCCTAAAATTATTTTGCTCATTTTAAGCTCTACCGGTTAATTCACAAAACTGTAAATTCTCCGGCAGAACGCACTGTTCATAACATAGTCATGATTACAGTCAAAATACTCGAAATCGCTCACTGAATCTAATTATGGCATTTAAATCCTTAAATTAAATCTCTAACTAAGATTTACCAGTTAGGGTCATTATATTCACCCCACCTTTTAAGGATTTTGCCCACAAAATCAAATATCAAATATACATATACCTGACATCAAACTCAGGATATCGCTGGAGAATTTCATTCTCCCGCTCCCAAGTGGCGTCCTCAGGAGTCAATCCTTCCCATTGTACCTTGATCATGGGAATAGTCCTGTTTCTCAACACTTTTTCATCACGTGCTAGAACCTTAAACGGTCCCACAACAAACTTCAAGTCTTTTCTTACTTCGATATTGTCCGGCTGTACAATGTGGGATTCATCCGGCACGTATTTTCGAAGTTGACTGAGGTGAAAAACACTATGCAAATTTGACAGATGTGGAGGTAAGGCAAGCTGATAAGCCACAGGTCCGACCCTTTTCATAATCTGGTAGGGCCCAATGAACCTAGGACTCAACTTCCTCACTCCTAGAGCACGCCCAACACCCGTAGTCGGAGACAAACGGATAAATACATGATCCCCTTCTGAAAATTCAAAGGGTCTATGCTTTGCATCATAATAACTCTTTTGGCGACTCTGTGCTTTCTTCAATCGATCCTTAATCATCATAATTTGATCGGTAGTCTCTTGGACCATATCAGGCCCAAATAACTGCCTCTCTCCAATTTCTGACCAACAAGTAGGCGCCCTGCACCTACGGCCATACAAAGCTTCATACGGAGCCATGCCCAAACTGGCATGATAACTATTATTGTAGGAAAATTCCCCTAGAGGAATATATTTATCCCATGCATTTCCCTGCTCTAAGGCACAAGCCCTCAACATGTCCTCCAGGGTCTGAATAGTCCTCTCAGTCTGACCATCAGTCTGGGGATGATAAGCCGTGCTCAGCCTCAACTGTGTACCGAAGGCCTGTTGCACTGCATCCCAGAGTCTAGAAGTAAATTTAGGGTCCCGATCACTAATGATACTTTCAGGAACACCATGAAGCTTCA